ACCAGTATTTCCAAGATACGTGGTTACTGACTGAAGATCACTTAATCATTTCCAGATACGCACTGATTACTAAACAATACATAACTTTTTTTTTTTTAACCTACCAGTTTCAAAGGTTAATTATCTCCAAAGTGAGGGAGTGGGAGCAAAGCACAGAAATTAGGTGACTCCCCTAACGTACAACTGGAAGCAAAAGATACCTGCCCTGAGCTGTATTCGTTCAATCCCAGAATCTTCAGAACTCGGTCTTTATGATTTGTACCCCATATACTCTCCCAGAAAGAGACTGAATTTTTGCCTGGAATAATAACTGACAGGAGGAGATGACATGAAATACTAGAAATTCAGGCCCTAGTTACTGTTAGATCTTCACAGACTTCTATAGAGGATTTGAAATATTGCATAAAGTGTTGAGTTCTAGTACCACAGTTGTTACAGTTCTTTATGAGTTTTATAATGTGTAACAATACCTCTGTGAGAAATATGACTTTGATTAATGTGTAAGTTCATCAAAACCTCTTACCCATATGTTCTATTACCTGGACTTCAGGATACCAAATCAGCAATGTATGTGGCTTGTCTTCATTCCTACTTTCTTGTAAGATTCAAAATATCTGTTGATTTATCACTAGCAGAGAGATCAAGGTGCATAAGGGACAGTGACGCTGTAGTATCTTTTATTCTTTCATCTGAACAATCAATTCATAGAATTGCAAGTCATGGCTTCCTACATGTTTCAAATTGATGTTAAAAACGCTATTCATTTTAGATTTCCAGAACTGCAGAAACTGGTTTAAAAAAACAGAAAAACACAAAAAACCTCTTCTAATTCTGGCCTCATAGATTTTCATAGAGTAACCACCTTGAGACATCATTAAACCAGAGTAATTTTTCTTACTGCATGACCTTAACATAAGCTAATCACTGTTCTTGTCCACTGCTTAAAACCTTTGCTTAGTCCTAATGAACCTGATTATCTTCCCCATGCTTAAAACATGCACAGTTATCTTGCTGAATTAAAATGTGTCTTCATGTAGCCTTATTTTTTTAATGAATGACAGTGGTTTTATCAAGATACTGTTTTTCAGTGAGGGCAACACCATACTGATTGTTGTCTTAAACACAAGAAGAATAACTACTTAAGAAAGTTAGCTGTTCTTTATACATTTGAGTCTATGTGTTAGCACTAATAACTTTATGTGTTCGATACAGTCATAAATGGTCAGGCTATAGCTGGTCAGCAGTTTTGTCTCGTAAAGAAGATTGATCTCGTGATCCAGTGTTTACCTCCTCTAATCTGTTCTGTGCATGCATTTATTTTTGCCTTTTTAAAATATGATAGCTGAGTAGAGAAAACAAATTCTCAGCTAAAACAGTACTGCTGAGTCTTAAAACGGTTCAGGTTAAGACCCTCACCTTCTTAGCCTGTGTCTTCTCTGGATTTATGATAGTTTAATGAATTCAGTCTTTAGTATGTTATTAGCACTTTTCCATAGTAAGTGTTGTTCAGGCTTTTTCTGTTTAAAGAATCTTTTACATTCCTCATGAGTCATCTCTATAATACACATGTGATTTCATATACAAATAATATTTCTGCATTGCATCCTGCCAGCTGTAAATATGGCTAGCATTTTTTTTACACCAAACCTGTGCTGGAAAAATAAGTGGTATCCAAAATTCCTGCAAGGCATCCTTCTAAACCTTTATTTATCTCAGCTTCATCAAACTGAACATTTATCTTATTTTCCTTGTAATTGTCAATTACAAATATAAAAAGTTGTTGCTGGAACCAGTATGCTGCTCATTAACTCAGTTCACTAGGGCATGAATAAAAACTATGTTTGAATGAAATTTTTTTATGTTATGTTGGTTCCTTTCTTCTGCTTGGTTTTGGTACTTGAGTGCTAAGGTTCAGTTAGCTTCCCCTGTCTTGTGGAGATTACATCAAGTAGTCTGCTTTGGAAAATATGTACTAAGTAGTCTTACTACAAAAGCAAAATTAGAAAACAAGTACAGTTCCTTAATGTTTAAAATTGATCCCTGCAATAAAACAAGGTATTGCTTAAGTAAAGTTGGACAATATGCTAGATATACAAAGCTGTGCAGCTGAAGTAGGCTCAGTAAACAAGAATAAAAGGCAGTAAGTTCATGAAAAGCCACTAGCTAATGTTTCAACTGTAGACAGGATTCAGTCACCTCTAATTTTTGTAGCAAATGTTCTAATGAACAGAAATTACTCTTAAATATGACCTCTTTCTTGATCTTTAAAAGCTGATGTCAGTTTAGTTGAAGTATTCAGGTTTTTACCTTAAAAAAAAAAAAAAATCAGCTTACCTGCTTACATAACTTACCAGTGCTGTGTTCATTTCTTTCCACAGATAGGTGCAACTTAGGGCAGAGGTGTGTAAGGACCAGTAGAACCAGTTTTTCTTTGCTTCAGACTGAAACTTCCAGTGCTTCATACCCTCTGAGAGCATCCTGAATCTCTACAAACTAAGTTCACCTAACACCACCATATAAAGTTGAATGTTTTCCTAGTCGTATATGAATGACAAATCATCTGGTTTAAGCGTTGTTCTTTTTTTTTTTTTCTCTCTTTCTCTTTCGCTGTGTAGAATATTCTGTAGTCGAGAGATGGCCCTCAGCCAAAGAGAAAAGGTTAAAATGGAACCTATCTGTTGAAATAGCTATACCTCTTTAGTTCATGGTTCTTAAAATATATTTAAATGACCTTTGGTATTGTGAGAGTAGAAGTGTCATGCTGGACTTTGTTTTTCTCTCTTTAAAAAAGAACTGGTAATTTTAATTCGTCTCTTACCAGAAGTTAAACAAGGTAAACAAAACGCTCAACTGACTCAAATCAGCAGTAACAGAACACAGTCAGTCGTAGCTATTGTTAGTTAATTAAAGTATTTGACACAAAGGTTTCTTAGAGTTGCAAAGACAGTCTTCCCTGTTTTGTAGATGAGGAGTTTCATATATGGCATTTTCATTAAAGTGAAAGTACATTGTTATTAGAGCTACGGTAGATGTTTTTCTAAGAATTAGGTGTTGGCTCTATTAATGTTTACAGAAATTTTGCTCACGTCATTTTCTAGCTCTTTCACTAACACCGTAATCGTTCATTTAAAATGCTAATCAGTCTGGTATACCAGAAATTAGTCTGTAAAAGCTGGACTTAATTTATGCAACACTTTTCTTCAATCTTAAATCATATGTAAGTTTAAAAAAAAAAAACCACAAAACATTTTTCCAATTTTTGTGAAAAGCAATCTAACTTTTTTAAATTCTTGATAGCATTAAAATTGTTTTTTTCATCACATCTGTGCAGTACCAGAATACCAAAAGGCCAGCCCCACTGTGTCCCAGTATCACCTATATGAGGTTCACAAGATTCATTTATGTCAATACCATTATCACCTTTGAAATACGTAAAAGCTCAAAGACAGGTACTTCGCAAATTGAATGTGTAAAGTGATGGCTTTACCTGAACAACGTGATTTATCTAGCAAGTGTATTTTACTTCAATGTTCATAAGACATCTAAAATTGGAAATCCAGCACTGTTATAAGCTACAGCTTTTTGTTGTGCAAATAATTCATATTTATTCAAGATACCACATTATACATGGCTTTCCCAAACACTATTATGGAGATGCTAACCATGTTAAAATACTATAAAAGGTAATATTCCCTGTATGTTACCTATGACAACAGTGTACAAATGCTATAACAAGTAGATTTAATGCAAGCTATGAATCCTGGCAAATACCAAGTAAGTTGGATTTACTGTATATAATCTTTGCAGGGATTATGCGATACTTTGAACATAACCTTTCAAACGGTTTTGCTGCCCCAGGATACAGCAGATGTGTACATGTACAAAACATGTACATTTTGGGGGATCTTGCTCAATTCTAAGAGGTTGAATGTTGATGAAAGTTGCATGTTCTGTATCAGTAGAAGTATTCAGTGCTTGTTTCATTGGGTCAAAACACAGGAAGCACAACTGAAAAAAAAATGAAAGCACTTGGTGTAGGTCTGTGAATCCTGGCAGTTGGAATGTGGACACAAAACATGTATGGATCCACTGTACCATTCAGAAAAAGTCTGCTGATTTTTTTTAACTGTAGAAAAACAGCACATCCTGCTTAAAAGGAAATTTTCATAACTAATGAATTTCTAGAGTCCTGGCAAGTGGGGGGGGATGTGGGGGTGGGTGTGGTTTATAAGTTTAATGTTTTTGGTTAGTTCTGGCAGCCTGAAGTAGTGATCATAAACCTAAGGCTGAACATGAATTATGGGATAAGTATAGGAAAGCTCGTACTGTTGCTGTAGTAAGAGTTAACTTCACATGACACTTCCAAGCATTTACACAACTTCAAAGTGTAAATAAGATTAGACAATAGTTTCTTCATCCTCTCACAGGAAAAAAGATTCCTTCTAAATACATCTTCTGTGTCACCTAGTTACCGTCTTTGATCAGGCAACATGCCTAATGACAAACTTCTGAAAGCATGTTGAGTTGCCTTGTGTCTCAAAAATCCTGACAAACAAGCCTCCTTGATTTCCTGTTTCAGTATCACATAGATAATTAAAGTCAAAGCAAAGATGAATAAATTAATTAATTAATCGGCTACTTCTACACAAATAAATGTGTGCTCCCTTGTAAACATTAATGAGACCATGTCAATGAGCTGGAAGACATTTGTGGCACTCTGCAACAGGAAATCCTAAAATACTTGGAAAGATTTTGTAAAAGGGTTAAAAAGTAACAAAGTAGTAAACTCCTCCTTTGAAAAATAAGTGCCTTCCTCTGTTAGAGCAGTCCAAATTTGCCTGCTGCATCCATGAAAGCTGTTCATTCAGTGAAGGTCAAAGGTTTTGTTGTTGGTACACCAGCTGATCATCTGTAAGCCTGTCAGGCTGTACTGCTGAGCATAACAAACTGCTGTGCATTGCTGATGTGCGTCACAGGACCCTGGGGTTTTGCATGGGGATTAGTCAGGCTGTATTTGGAAACGCCCTCAACTGCACTTTGTGCTGCTATATTAGTGTTTCTCAAGCAAGAGGAATTTTCTTTTGCTTCTGCAGCTGCTCCTGCAAAACCCTCTGGTAAGTGTGCATAGCTTCTGTCAACAGTACTGACTGTCTTCTGCCTGCGTTTTTAAGGCAGGGTTATGAGCTGAGGCATTACTTACAGTTGCTTATTGTGACAAATTGTATTTTTAAAATAAAAATTTGATAGCACAGAATGGGCAACAGCATTGAAAGAATAAATATATTTACCAGTTTTTATTGAATAGGTTAATTCAATGTAAATGTTCCTCTACTTGTAAATATGTATCAGAGTAGTCTTAAGTGTGGGTATTTTGAGAGTGACGTAGCTACGTACCATGCATGTCTGCTTTTATTTCTATACAGCAGGAAGAGCAAAGATCACATAATATAGCAGACCAATTCTTAAAAGGATTTGGTTGGTTTTTGTTGGCAGCCTGTATGCAAGCCCTGCGTCTCTGGACTCTGCTTGCCACCTATGCTGTTGCAGTAGGACAAAATCAAGGACAGAAGAATCAGGAGTGCCCTAAGCTCAACGCACAGGTACTCTCCTTTAAAAGCACAAGAGGAAACGCTGTTGTCATGTTTTCTGTGAACGCGCTCTCTCCAGATTTTTTATATGGGGTTTTTCTTCCAAACTAAGTATCAGAATCCAGCACATTAAGTGTAAAAAGATGTAAATAATTAAGCAAAATAAAACAGGGAAAATTATTTTTAGTACGCATCCTATTCCATTCCTTAAAATAGCTTAGGTAGTGAAGACAGTTCCAGTTATTTCATATAACCTGTGCTGGGTATCTGGTTTTGCAGCATGTTGTCAAGCAACTGTGAAGATACTCAATGTTCCGTTGTTTCATTTCGGTAATAATATTTGCCTGTTTACCTTTTAGATAAGTAGTCCTAAGGCTATTTCTTGGCAAAACAATCAAAAGAGTAATTTGGTAATTACTAGTTACTAACAATTTCTTACCATATTTGAGTTTATATCGTATGAATATAAAACATACTATGTTTTTGGTTCTGGTAATTTTAATAAATATCTGTCCAGAGCTCAGGTTATGCTAGCAGACTGCACGATCACTAGTGCAGTTCTCCTGAGTGCTGCACATGACCGATGTGACTACACTCACATCCAGTAGCTTTTAATGTTCCTGTCTAAAAGATAAGACTACTAACAGCTGGGGCTGCTAAGAGAAACCTCTATTGCACTCGTGGACCAAAATTCAAATTTTCTGAATTAAAGCCTAAACTTGCTTTATGCATACATGAGCATATAAACACATGTAGCTATATATGAGCATATACAGATGGAGGAAAAGATACGCACACACTGCCTTTCTGTGGTTTTTGTTACGGCTCCTCCACTTCTTGCAACTCATGCATTGCAATTAGCAGAAGTTATGTAAGAAGCTTGCATGCTTTTCAGAAGTTTTTTGGTAAGCTTTGTTTTCTAGAGTAAGTAGGTGAAAGTAATGTTTTGTAATAATATCAAAAAGAAAAAGGGAGTGGAAAATAAGATGTAAATTAAGGAGCGTTCTCCTTTTCTTTGTAATTTCACCAAACTGTTACTTTCTGACACCAAGAACACTGAAACCAATTTTCTGTAGCTTGCCAGGGTATCAAATTTCACAGCTATCACTGATGCCATGCCCTGCCTTTTTTGGTACATATCCATAAGTAAGTATATGTGATAGCTACTCTCAGACCTTGGAATTGAGCATTTGCAGTTCCTGAGATAAATGTCATTTATTCTTGGTTTATACTCTTTCACCAGGTAGCTATCACCATAGACTAGAAATAAAATTTACAAATAATTGAATCCTATCCATTTTATCATTTTGATTTGCGTTTTCCTTGTTTGTAAATAACTTTAATAGTTCCCTCTCCTTGCAAGCCCACCCTGGTGTGTCCTCTATATCAAAAGTTAATAGGTTTGGAACTAGGTCTAAGGCAGGTTTACCAACAAAGTAGAAAAAAAGAAATTGTGTGATAATTGAAGTTCACATATAGTCAATTGCAGCTGATTCTTATTCATTGTCTTACCACTTTTATGATATTATGGTCATCTGAAATTTCATGGAATATTTTTAATACATTTGTAAGTGTGAGTAACAGTCATTATTATTATTATTCAGCATTACTGTCACCTAACAAAGTACTGTATCAACCCTTGAGAATTATAAAGAAGTTCCCTTAAAATTTTATCTACCCATAATGCAGGGTGTTTTCTTAGCAGTGATTTTTGGGAGGCATCCATACTAGATTAGTCTTTGTAAAATAAGAAAGCTTTGTATTTGCCAAGCAGTGTAGGCTTACAGGGTATCAGTATTAAAAATACTTTGCCCCTTTTTTTTATGTCTTTGGTCAAAGCATTTCTTAGCAGACTTACGATGATAACCTCTTGTATTTTTAGTTATTACTAGTAATATTTCAGGCTGTGTATCTAGATTTGATTGTGAAATGAGACATATTTCCATGTAGTTAAGAAAGCAAGTCATTCATCAGCTTGTCCTTCCCAATGTAAAATTACAGATAGTGAAAACAACAGACGGTCCCACAGTCATCCTTTATATGAAGTTTCTTTGTATTAGCTACTCTTCTATTGGACATTATTTTTTATGTTTATTTTTTAATCATAGGGACTTACGTTGTTTTATTGGGTAGGGAAGTAACAGCTCTACTTCCAGCACACAGTGAAGTTCGGTATAATCTTAACTCCAGAATATGACATTACACCTTGTGCACACAATCAGTTATTAATTCCCTAGGATATCTGATTGGAAATGCCTACTATGGCATCTGTGAATTCACTTAGATACCTGCCTTTCATTATAGTGCTTATCACCAGCTCTTGTTTAATAATCCAATAGACGCAGCATGCACTTAGATATACAGTTTCAATTATTAAGAAAAAAATACCTATAAGCAGCACCCAGATACAACATAAAAGCAGCTCTGTTTGCACTTTTGCTATCCAGTTGTGTATAAGAAACTTTTATTTCAAAACAGAATTCAATACGTTCTTTCCAGTAAATACGTTTCCTCTTTATTTAACCCAGCTACACAGATGCATGTCTCATGTACTAAATAGGCTTGTAATTTTCAGAGCTATCTTTGTTGTAAATGACCCATTCTGTGGTTTGTAGGACTGGGGGATTTCCAAACCTGCGTGAATCCATTACTGTTCATTCGTCAAGGTATGACTATAACGTTGTTAGCTGCAGAAGAATTTCCTACCTGCTTATTCCAGTTACTTGCTGTCACAGATGAGCAGATCTTTTTTTCCTTTTCATAAATCAAATTAAGCTCAATCTTTAAAATAATCTTTTTCAGTTTTGTTCTCCTTGCTTCTTTTTGAAAGGCTCCTTAAAAATGTCAGAGACTAGAAACTTAAATGTATTTGTGGCCAGTGTATGTGCCAACCACAAGTTACCTTTGGGAGTTGTAATCTTTTAACATGTGTTTTAAAAGAGATACCAGTCTCTGAGCTATTTCTGTAACATATAGAAGTCCTTGGTAAGAAAGCAAAACTCTTCTCACACTTTTCTAAAATGACAGAATAAATAGGGACACTTAAATGATTCAATATGATATACCTTCAGATGTCACAATGAAATATTAATTCCCTTTCCTGTGCTCATATAGTTTTAGTCCTGTATATAGAAGCTCCTTGCTCTGAAAAGCCTTCTTGCCTTTGTTAGCTCCTGTGGAGTATTTTATTTTGTTGTTTCTCCATATATGTTCTTCCCAGTCAAGTGGTGCATAAGAATTTTGGGCCTTTTGTGTATACTGAGTTGACTCCTAGAGCTCTCTTAAAACAATTAATTGAAAGACAAGGTTTATCAAATTGACTGAACTTTTCTTAGCATTTTTTCACTCTTTTTTCTTTCATCTGTCTTATCAGTTCTTTCCAACTTGAATCTGCTTGTCTCTTGCAACTCTCAGGAATGGCAGAAATGCACCAAAAAACCAACAGCTAGACTGGGCAGAAGTGTAAGACATTGAAGGAGACAGTTTGCCAGAAAACTGTTGACTGCTTATTAGACAGTTCCATTTACTTCTAATATAGTAATGATGAAGCCTAAATAAAAGAATTGCTACTTAACGGTCCGTTGTAAATATGAATACAAGGAACTACTCATAGGCACAGTGGTTGTTTTGACTAACCATATTTGTCTGAGGCTTTACCAGGTGCCATATCCATAATGAAGACCTGTTTTTGCCTATGAAAGTGCCTGTGATACTGAAATTGTCTGGGTTATAGGCACTGCAGAACACTTTCCCCCCCCCCCCAAATTAAAATACTCTTCAACTGACTTCAATTCTTGTGTAAAAATGAAAGGTGTATTAGAAATAAATGAACCTTAGAAACTGAAATGCAGTAGGAGCATCAGTTTACAACATCAAAGCAGGAAGCTTTCATCATACTCAAAATCTTAAGCAATGTCTTATTTAACATCATCTACTGAAGTGTTTACTAAGGAGGTTTTTCCTCAGGTTGTTTCAAAAACTTACAAAAGGCCTCAGTCTGAAATAAAACAGTAGTAAGCAATTCGACTTTCCTCATAGTCTCCTCTCTGCTCTTTCCATCTTCCCCATCTGTTCTGTTTAAATCAGTTATATTAGGAAGTCTGTTCCTTAGCATCTAAGTAAACTAAATAAGGATTGAACTACTTCTTAAAAAATTACACATTTAGATTTCACTTTAAGTTTTGCATTCCAAGTCTAAAAATACATATATAATTTGCCTCCTGAAAGTCAAAGGAATCGGATTAGTTAATTTACAGTGAAAAAATTTCAAAACACGAGTCGAATTGCTTTATCTTTCATTATAGAGAAAAAATGCTGTATACCCACCAAACAAGTGGTAAGGTTACTTTTGTTTACCAACACTGTATAACATACAAAAGAAATACCATAAAACACCTTTAAAGAGTTGCAGATTGTTAATCTTCTCAAAAGAGTAGGGAATTCTTTAACAGCTATTTCTCAGGATTTTTTTTTTTTTTAAACACTCATTAGCTTTCTTAATGATTCCCAGTTTGGGATGTAGCTGATAGTTGAAAGCCAATCCTAATGTACCTTTTTTGAATTTACTGTGCTAATAAAAGTAACAAGGCACTGCAACCACATAGACAACTATCTTGGTTTAGGAGGTTCCATTTTTACAGAATGTCTTTGCCATAGGATGGCAAAGGAAAACCTTCACTCTTCCAAACTGAGTGAAATGAATCTGTTGTTTTCTTTATGAGACTTATAAAGCAAAGTAGTAGTAAATACCTTGTCATGACTTAGAAATTTTTGGTAAGATATTCTGGTATGGGTAAATGTTTTGCATGGCTGGAAAACCTTGGAAAATTATCAAAGACTCGTGATTAGGGGTTTAGAATTTAGATTTCTGTTTTCTGTTTTCATGAGTGTCTTTGAGAATATCAACCAGAAAGTAGCAGTAAGCATACTGGGGATTAGAATTATTTGTTATATTAAAAAAAAGGAAGAAAAGATACAATCCAGCAAGGCTAAATGTAAAATTTAGCACTTTGTGCAACTACTTGTTTCTGCTAGGACTAATTTTTAAGACTATTTGGTCATCACCAACAATTTGAATCATTATCACCATATTGCTGCTAACAAAGTAAGTGTATTCAAATGTATACGCAAAGATACTATCTGAAGACATGGAACAAAGTAGCCTGTCAGCTGAGGCCTGAAAAGAGCAGAGCAGAAAGGTTATACCCACAGTTATGGATGCTGTGTTTCAAGAACAATACGATTCAAATGGATGGGCCAGGACAACATCAAGAATTGTCAGAGGTTCAGAAAATTGTGCTTTGCAAAAGAAGAATTAAAGAAATTTGGATTCTTTAGTTCAGGAAGAAGGGAAAAATGTCCAAGAGTACCTATGAAAAAGAATAATTTCTTCCAAGGTGAATGACCTAAAATTACAGTAAGGAAGGCTAAATAGAGGTTAAGCAAACTTTTCTGAACGTGAAGATGGTTGAGCACTAAAACACGTGGTTGAGGAAAGTGAGCAATATGTGAGTGAAGGTTTTGAAGAATGAGTTAGACAAGTACTGCCAAGGATGATGTAGCTGTAATAGTTTGCTCCTGCCTGAGGGCAGAGTGGACTAGAGCCAATATTTAAAGGTACCTCCAGCTCCTTTCTCTCCCTGACACATAAGTGTCTTTTCCATTACAAATGCATGTGTTTGCAAAACTTTAAAATGTCATCTTTTTCTTAAATGATAACCTAATTGCAATTTGACTTCAAGCTGGTTATTACTAATAAACAACAGGATTAGTAGCATCAAGAGCATGAAGAAAGAATGTTGTGTGACATTAACAATTAGTGATATGAGAACTGTGGTTCCAGAAATATTCTATTCTGGAAATATTTCTATTCTGGAAAATGAAGCAGCTTTTTTTTTTTTTTTTTTTTTAAATTAGCTCATTACAGCAAAGATTAAATGCTAGGTGTAAGAAAAGGAAAGCTGAATGACCAGAATGTGAAAAATGTAATTCCTAGCACTGCATCATCTCTGACATTCTATACATAGAAAGTAAAATTTATAAATGCCCATGTAGACAGATTGCAAATGTCTGTTGCCTTTGCTTTAGAAAAAGTCCATACATGATTATAAAGGAAGAAAATACATACTAAATTTTTTAATTTCTGTCAATAAGTAGTTCTTTTACCATCTCTGCAAGGTTGAAGAGAAACTTTTAGTGTAAGCAAAGGCTTGCGGGGGGAGGGTGGTGTTTGGGGAGGGGTGGGGGTTTTGTGGGGTTTTTTTAAATTTTTTACCAAATTCAACATTTATCATAGTATTCAAGAAATAGTCTTTATTCAAAAGGACTATGTGTTGTGATAGCATGTGTTATTTCTGAAGTGTGCAGTAAAATAGGTAATGGAAAATGATTGATGGAGGGTTAGGAAGCAGGAATTACTACATAGTCTTCTTGTATTGGAGTACTCAGTTGACACATGTAGCATTCTCATCTGTATCTATGTTGAAACTTTAGGGGCATATTAATTGCACAAAGAGCTAGTTTTAAGGTTCATCATCTCCCAGTGACATACTTAAATCACAAGGTGATCCCATATGTCCTGTTTCTATATATCACCCTTATTTCCTACAAATACAATTACCTTTTCTGTGAGTGTCAGCTTATTGAATAATTTGATGTTAGGAAAGGAAATAAACACAGATGTTGAAAGCCAACAGAACTGTATGCAGTCATCAGTTAATACATCCAGAGTATTTTCTGTTTCTTCTTACTCTTAACTTGCCTTCCTGTCCTGAGCATGTTTTGATGCCATATGAAACTGTTTATAAGTGCAGAGCTACCAATCTGATGCATAGCAGATATTACCTAGTAAGTTTTCCTCTGTAAGTGTATGTCTGTCTGTGTTCTTACTCTTAATAGATGCCAGAATTCCAGAAGAAGACTGTCCATATTAAGGACCCAGGGAGAGTAGAGGAGATTATTTGTGGCCTCATCAAAGGTGGAGCTGCCAAACTTCAGGTAAAGATAGTAGAAGGTGTAACCGGTTTGGAATGAAAGCATTCATGTGATTGTTGCTCTATGCCAAAAAAATTTAAGAATCTATATATATAACAGAAATCTCCAAAACTTAGACATCTGTTCAGTCTTTTAATAGCCCTTGTTGATTCAACTGTAATTCAGCCAGACAGTAGTTAAGTAAATGATACAAACATAAAAGCTTAGTAATTTCAGGAAATATTCTAACCAAAGGAATTAGAAAAACAGTTTTGCTAGGAAAAAAAGTTATGGGATATTCTGGCATACATTACAATAGTTCAATAAAATAGGGAGATTTCTGGGACATATGCTACTCAGCTGCACCTGTTGTTGATCATTCAGAATTTCTATCCATTCTTTATTTTCTCCCTCCATGTTGTAAGACAGTTTTGCTTTTTCTTTCCTTAAATAGATTATTACAGATTTTGATATGACATTAAGTAGATTTTCCTACAATGGAAAAAGATGTCCAACTTGTCATAGTGAGTACTTCTTTTTTTTTTTTAAATATGGATTGGTTTGTTCACTCCTTTTAGTTTTTCCTAGATTTTAATTTTCTATTCAATTTATTCCCTAATATGTGAGATTTTGTATTGACTTGTTACCTAATGTGTACAGCCTAATGAAGAAGTATTTTAGTGACTGCCTATATGCATTTTTCTGTATCTATTTTTCAATCACAATCTGTGTGAATTAAAATCAGATAAGTTGTGATTCACAATTAAAACATTAAGTTCTGAATTATAAGATGTTAGTGGCTAGATCTGATAGGGTGGACTTTTATTTTGTAAGACCCTGTAACAGTCTTGACATCACAAGAACCAGACAGTAAACTCCTCAGAATTCTTGATATTTTTATCCTGTAGCCTTTGAGAACAAAGATAATCCATTTGTTAATGAAGTGGGAATCCTAAAACACATAGGATGCCTCATGATGATTTCAGAAACAGTTAAATCTCAGGAAACAGATAAGAGAGCTTGCAACTCTCCTTTTAATTCAGAGATAAGAGGAGGGACAGTAATATATCTTCCTGCTTATGAAGAAAAATGTGCCTTTTACTGGTTTCTGGTAAGAAAAGTTCTGAGGAAACATAGTGGTATGTCGTCAAACATTGTCATCTATGCCATTTACAGTGTTGTAGAGCAAACTATACCATCTTGTTAAACACTTTTTTTTTTTTTTTCACCCCCCCCAGACATCATTGATAATTCTAAGCTCATCTCAGAGGACTGTCGGAAAAAGGTAAACAGAAAACCTACTAACTGTTGGTTTGTTGTACAGACAACTGTTATTATTCCCTGGCTGTACTGTGTGTTGAATTATGCAGTGTGACAAGACAAGGGATACTTTCAAATCCTTAAAACTCTCTGAGCTTTCTGACTGACTGCAAGACATCCCATCATAAATAGAAGTGAACAGAAATATTTGTATTCTTGATAGTGGCATGAAGTTCAGTTTAACAGTATCCGCTTTTTCTTCTTAGATATATTTACAAGCTAACTCTTTGTTCAAAAACCATTTCAGATTCCATTTTATCTAAATAATGTAATCAGAATGAAGAAAGTTATCTTGATTGCTCAGATCAAATACCAAGTGTGATTTTATAAAAATGCATTAAACATCTGGTGATTTTTTCCCTTCAGTTATTGCAGCTGAAAGAAACCTATTATGCTATTGAAATTGATCCAGCTCTCACTATTGAAGAAAAATATCCATATATGGTAGAATGGTAAGAGACACTTCCATTTTTCACATTGTACTAAGATCAGAGTTAATAAGTTTTTAAAAGCAAATTAATGGTAGTAATTAGCATTTAGCTAACATATTAACTGAATTAATCTCTCTGAGTGTTGTGCAACAACTGGTGTTGCTTTGCTGTTAACTTGAGTGATCAAGAATTAACCATACAGGATGCTTTTCAAGATTTAATGGAAGGTGAATCTTGGTAACTCAATTTCGATCCATTTTTTGTTTATATTCTAGGTACAATAAATCTCATGCACTACTCATTGAACAAGGCTTACAAAAGGATAAGTTTGCAGAAATTGTAAGGGAGTCTGATGTTATGCTGAAGTAAGTTCCTTTTGATTTCAACAACACTGATTCGGACCATTTTCTGTATATTCTTACTGTGTGTTTTCAGGGGAAAAACAAACAAACAAACAGAAGCATTCCTTAGAATGTGACACCGTAATCTTGGAACACAATGAGCTCTTCATGCCCCCACTTTATTCATATTTTGTAGCTAAATGCTTACAATGATCACACTGTATTACACTAGATATCTTTAAAAAAATTTTTTTTTAAAGTTTGAGCCCCATCTCTACAAACTTAATTTCTGTAGACTTTCATTCTCTTGAAATTGCACTCATGGCTCTTTTTTTGTAAGGGGAATGTAGAGTTCAACTTTGTTCCTTTAAAAAACATTGCCTAGAATAGTTCCATCTGAGAGAAAAATGCAGTGACTTGAGGAATGTGTTTCATATGTTGTATTAAATATTGTTCTTCCTTTATGGCTAAAGGCAAGTTTAAAAGCCAGCAAAATCCTTGCTTGAAATGTGCTGTGGCTCCCATCTCTTTTAAAGTTCTCCAAAATTGTCTGTAAATTTTGAACTACTGAAACAAGATGTTAAGACTTAATTTGTGGAAGTGTTTGTTTATCATACTAACTAAATTCTTGTCTTTTGCAAAACAGACAAGCACAGTGTCTCTGACTTTTTGAACACCTAGGTCTGTGTGGATCGAGCCTTCATTCACAGGCTAAAATTCCCTCAAAAATTTTCATCATCATAATTTTTTCTAAAAATGTAAAATTCTACCAATCAATGCCTGTGTGAAGAAGGTGTATAGAGATAATGTTACCTTGTTCCCAGAATACTGTACATGGGTTTGATTGGGTACTGAAAACTAAAAAGCTTTTAGGAAAGAGTTACGATAAATGTTTTCAGGATTTCAAAACAAAAAAAGATTTGTTTTATGGTAATAACCCTACAGAAAGTCAAATATTTAAGCAAGGAAGACTGAAAGGAAATGTACAGCCTGATAGTAGTTAGAGAGAGTTCTACTAGTTGCTTGTTTTTATGGGGTGTTTGGGGAGGAGGAACTGTTTTTAAGTCTTTAAAACATGATTAGATGTTGGGCGGGAGGTGAGGGATTATACAGATCAATACCAAACAGCTTGATGCAAGAGTTTCTTGCCAAAACGACGTGCCTTGTGTTAGGTTGATGGTCCTTGCTAACCTGAAAAGGTGAGGCAAAGGAAATAATGTGAAATGCTCAGGGAGAATTAATTTTCTTTTCCACAGATGATGTGAATGTCTTCTGAAAACTCTTGACTTTTCTTGGCTTTCTTTAGTTGAGATTTTATTTCTATTTACATCCTGTGTTACAGAGAAGGATATGAGAACTTCTTTGATAAACTCAGTGAACATAATATTCCTGTGTTCATATTTTCTGCTGGGATTGGAGACATTCTTGAGGAAGTTATCCACCAGGCTGGGGTCTACCATTCTAATGTCAAAGTGGTTTCCAATTTCATGGATTTTGATGAAAATGTACGTATGAAATAACACATTTGTATCAAACATGACTGTTCATGGTATTTAGTAGCTGTTTATATATATGCTACAAGATGAACATTTTAATGCAACAGATGTAGCCATCTACCCTGCCATATAGAAAATTAGAATTGCATACTCAGCACTCCTCCAGGCGAAAAACAAGCAGAGGATAACAGTTCAAACACTGTTAGCATGGTGTGACTAAGATACTATTCATTTCCTTTAATGGCAACCTCACACTCAGTCCAGTACAGCGCTGCTACTCCTCCAAGCAGGGAGAATCGCTGCCTGTCTAGTCTTAACAATGCTATTACAGTCATTACATTATTTAACAGTAATTTATCTTGTCCATCATTAGAGATTATGTAGTTCAATGTTAGGCCAAGAGTAATATCACCAATTTCATCCTAGATTGTATCTTGTCTATACAATACTAGAAATAACTTCAGTGGGGTTTTTTTATAGGGAATATTAAAAGGATTTAAAGGAGAATTGATTCATGTTTACAACAAACATGATGGTGCCTTGAAGAATACAGAGTACTTCAAACAACTAAAAGACAACAGCAATATCATACTGCTGGGCGATTCCCAAGGAGACTTGAGTATGGCAGATGGAGTAGCAAATGTTGAACACATTCTTAAGATCGGCTATCTCAACGATAAAGTAAGTAGCCTTATAACCTCTTGAACTTCACGTGAGTTAGAAGTTAGAAAAAGGTTCATTAAAGTTAGAAACAGGTTAATTCTAATGAGCTTCAGATGTCAGACCAAGTGTTTGGCCCGTATTTGTTTTGAGATTTCAAACATCATTCATGGATTTCTTGCCTTGAGTTTTTTTCTAAACCATAAGCTACAAAAACCCAAATGTAAATTGCTTTGTTTTTTGTACTGAACTACTTCCAAAACAGTATTTTGTTGAGAAGCAAAATTCAGAGGCTAAAGAAATTAATTATCTTAAATTGCTGTGGCTCCTCCTGCTCCTGTCAATACCTGATTGATAATTGAGCAAAATTATAATCTTCCAAATAACAAATTTAGACAGCATCTCTTTCTTTTTTAGGGGAAGGCTGGGGGGGTGGGGACGGACACGACACAGAACTGATTATTTGCTAAGTTTGCATTCAGGAGAGAGAAAACTTCAGTTTTCTATTTACCTCTGCCTTTCAGAAAGCTGAGGAAGTAGTTTTACTTTCAGTATCTTTATGTGTGAGACCCTGGAATAAACGTGAGGTATTATATCCTGGAATGCGCACAGAGTTATGTCAGGCTACTCCCACTCTGTCATCCTGTGAAATTCACTCATAGGAGCGATACATATTTGCATGGCTCATTCCCTGAATTTGGTGGAAAGACTGGGCGGTACTTTAATGACAAAAAGTCTTTCAATAATTAATTCTAAAACTAAGTGAGTCTTTCTCTTTGTCCCTTCTGCAATTAGGTAGATGAGCTTTTGGAAAAATACATGGACTCTTACGATATTGTCTTGGTGAAAGATGAATCCCTGGAAGTTGCCAACTCCATCCTACAGAAGATCCTGTAAATTGCAGTCTCAAGTCACTCCATTCCTTCCAGGAGGCAACTGGACAGAAGAGCACACATGTGCTATCTTAGATGTCTTTATTACTCATTTACAGAACTGTTTAATTTAATTTAAGACTTTTATCTTCATTTTGGTATTTTGAAATATATATGGTATCCATTGTCAACTAGAAGCTCCTTTTACTGCTCTTACGCTGTTCTTTATTGTCTCACACTCCTATTATAACTAGATTTAAATTGGATTTATAGATGTGATGAACTGCTGCTGATGGGATACTATGGTTCACTGTCTTTTAATCAAGCATTTCAGAGGAGCATTTTAGAAAATGTGGCTATTTTGTAAAATTGAAGATGTAAACATTCTGTGAATAAGCAGTGTGCACATTTGTGTTGCCTTTTCTTCTTTCAAAGAAGATAATTCAGTCTCAGCTGTACTTTGAAGAATCTTACTCATATGCTATAGACTTTCACAGAAGTTTTTCATACATATATTTTTCTTCAGTAAAAATGCTTTATTCATCCAATTCAGGCAACATGTTTCTTCTTAATAGATTTTTGTATCATTACAAAATACTCTCTATCTTCACTGTTGCTTTATCTCTGTGGAATGGGAAGAATTTTAAGTTACTACATCTGAGGTAAAGTTTCTCATCTTTGTACCAACAGATGGTTTCTCAAGCTAATAGTTCACAGCTATAACTTCAGCCCCTTTTCAGATCTTATTTTGTGTACTACTCCACTTCTAGCCTGCTGTTTGATGTCAAAGCTACCATGGCTTATCTAAAACAATTTCTCTTGGAATTCTTAGTGAGCTGCTCCGGGCACAGAAAATGAAAAGAAATCTAGATCTTAATCTTGGATTTTAACAGTTGACTTACTTTGCTGTTAATCTTGCCAAATGAAGTTTTCTTGGTACCAGCCCCATGCCTCAGAAGCACTTAAGAAACACGTCTCCAGACTGGCTTTAGGTCATATTCCCACTCTCTGCAAATTGTAAGCACAAGTATCAGTACAGCAGCTAGCTCTTCTAGCTTCGTTATGCTCTGTTTAAACACCTACTGAAGCTGCAGAAAGTGTTTCCCCTGTACCAAACATGGTACAGTACCTCTCAGCATCATGTACAGAACAGTATAGCTGAACACAGACGCAGCTTTGGAAGCTTACTCTGGTGTGTTGCAGCAGAAGTTAAAGATGATGTTGTGACCCTGGTCCCAAGAAGTCTCAGCTGTACTAGCTCTATTCATCAATAAAATAGAGGCAATCGTACAACTTCCCTAACATGCAATACAGTCATTGTTCCCCTTTGCTTTCTTCTATACACAGCAGGAACCGTGCCATCTTCCATTTCCCCTGAGGAACTGTAATGAAATATGGGAGAGTCTTGGTCTGCATTCTCTCCCAGCAGCAAGTAATACACATCTCAAGAAATGGCCTCTTTCCTGTCCAACCTGTGGTCCCTTATCTAAATTCTGACTCGGTAGCACCAGTCATATTTTTTTTCCAAATCAGCAGCCTTACATCTGTTACCACACCTACTGGAACTTTGCCAAGGTGGCAAAGATGGGGGGTAGTTTCCTTACCCCACCTCTGCGCCCTCTGCAGTAAACTGAAATTGAATCATCCCTGTATTTTGAATGCACGGCAGAGGCTCGAGGCACAATCTGAAGCAGTGTGAGGATCCTTTCGTGATCCCATTGCACACCGTGTGCCAGCGGGGAACAGCCAACCACAGGGACCTTTCAGAAATTCCAGCCTGCATCTTAACAGGCAAAGGCTGTTTGAGGGATGATGTCCTCCTTGTATACAATCTAGAGTCATGTAATTCCCTACTCCTGGCACAGGGGCAGCTAGATCCCCAGAAGCAAGAGCTTTAGAAGCCATCCATTTGAGCAGAAAAACTCTTAAACCATCAGACAACCAAGGAGAGGATAGCATCTTGGCTGCCTTCCATTTGAGAGCTGTGGCTCAGGCGGCAGCAGACTGGAAAAGCCGAAAGGGCCCTGGCGGTACCAGTGACGGGAGGAGATGGGAGCAGCAGCTGCCTCAGCCCTGGCTTGCCAAGAACCTGTCAGCCAAAGCCAGAAGATGGGGAGAGCTTGAAAGTAGTAGTGACAGCTGCTGAGTCAGTGCCGTCGAGAGAGCTGCTGTTCACTCTCTCATTCTTACACGCGCACACACAAAACCAGGTGCCGCAGCTGATGTGCGACTGACAGGAGCAAACACTGGCTGAGGGGTGGATGCTGCACACAACAGTCTGAAGGCAAGAAGGACTTGTGACAGTGGGGCAGAGCAGGCGAGAGGCTGCAGCTCTAGGAGCTGCAGGGCGAGCAGCTGCCTGGGGTGGAAGGAGTTGCAGGCAATGGCGCGGGTTGGGGTGAGCAGATCCCCTTGGAGCAGCCAGGGCCAGCAGCTTTGTACAAGTCCTCACCGAAGAGCAGGAGGAAGCATATTAGAACATGCCAACCACAGCAGGACAGGACAGGCTTGCAAGCGCCCCCACCACCAGGCCAGGAGGGGTGGGAAGGATGTTCCTCAATGCACAAGGTAGGCACTTTCTCCCTTTCCTCTCCTGCCTGGATGTGCCATTGAGCCAACCTTCACGCCCAGGCCCCGCGGCCTCTCTCCCTGGCCCCACCGTTCACCAGGGCCAGGGCAGGAGGGCAGGACAGTCGTATTGCAAAACTGCAGAGGGAGGGAGCAGCCTTCCGTGCAGTCATCTTCTGTCAACGCTAGGGTTTCGGCGCCGCCGGCAAGATAAGCAGGGCAATGTTACGTACGACTCCCCAGAGGACATCAGCGCCAGCTGTCCGCTTGGCAGCGTTGTCTGCACCCCCCTGGGCATGGCAAGGCTCTCGAGGAATGCTGCAGCATTTCCAGGGAAGGTCAGCAGACACAGTTTCTTTAACAGTCTACATTTTGGGTCTTAGGCACCTACAGAATTTAGGTTAGCTGAGCTAATGTCAAGGTCTGGGGCGTGGGGGGGAGGTTGGTGGGTTTTGTGTTATTAAGCGAGCAATCATGCTGGATCTTTTGTCATAGCTGCCAAATAAAAGTCCAAAAGGCAAAGGCCTTCTGCAAAACACAAAGGTGGATGCACTGCTTACTCAACCAGACTCCAGTTGCAAGGGGCTAATTACCAGGCATTACTCCCAAAGTTTACACTGGGACAAAATTTTCCATTTACAGGCAGGTTACCTTTGGAATGCAGATAACAGTTAAAATTTAGAGTATGTGAGAAGTGGGTGATAGCCACAGCTCCACAGCATAAGATGTGTCAGCAACACACACTCTGGCACAAGATTATTCTGGCTTCAAGCATAATGGATTTCCCTGGCCATCCCAGCATCGCTGAAAAGTTGGAGGCAATCCCGATCTCTCTGTGTGGTGTTTCTGAGAGGCAGGAAACGGTCACACAACTTGTCTCAGGATTTCAGGTGAACTCATTGCTCTTCCCCCTAGAATTTTTCCTCAGCCTCACCCAGCCCCACAGGAAGCAAGATATCACTCCTTCAGTGTGACGAGGATCTCATTGTTCAACCCACCCACAATTAAAACAAAAACCAAATAAACAAAGCCATGTAGAAAAGCATGTGCAGAGCAATATGGAAAAGGATTAGGCAGTATCTTTAAAACCAGTTACCAAAACAGATCTCCAACTAGATCTTAATCCGAGTTACTGAAATCAGTATCCAGCCTGCCAGAGCCCAGGTGTATCGGAAGCGATCACTTGATGGTTTCCAAACTACATGGACACTTAGAAGCCTTTGCCTTAGTAGAGGATTTCAGAACAAACAACTGTCGAGCATTTTTTTAAGGAAGATTTTCCAATCTCACCTCCAAGCAGATGGACAGTGAACTGCCAGTCACCAAACATTCAGTGCGCAATGATGATGACTTCAAGAAAAGGATTCTTGCCCTTCTGCAAGCAGGCAGGGAAGTTAAGCTCTCCAGCACGCTTTCTCCATTAAATCCTGTCAGTCTCGGGTTCTGTGTTAAGCATCTGCCAGAGCGGCTGAGCCACGCTGCAATCATCTGACAGAACCCATTTCCTGCACAAAGGGTATCTGCATGCCAAAAATTTACTTCTTGAAATGTCATACATGTATCTTTCTAGAAAAAAGTTACTTACATGATCAACCTGAACCAGGAGATGTGATTTAAAAGACCTACATTGTGCTGTACAGATTATCAATACCCTTTTGTCATCTCTC